GCTAAAACACCAGGGACTGGGAACTGCACAAACACTGCAATTGCCTGCACGGGGCTAACAGAAAGCTCAGGGTCCCACTTCAGGGAGGTGGGAGCATCACTGTTGAGTGTCCCTGCAATCAGAAATGGCCCAGAATCAAGAAAGTGGGGACCCAGGTTTCAGAGGCTCCTGGAGCGACAGCAGGAGCACAGAGGTATCCTCAGCTCTCGCTGCTTTTTCAGAAACACCAGAGCCATCTCCCAAAATTGGATGAATTCATCCTTTTGGTTAATATCCATCAAGCTGCTGATACACAGGGTGGATGCTGGATCTGGTACCCTCTACCTGCAGCACTTCCAACGCCTTTCTAAAACCGGCATCGTCGCTCCTCCTAGAGGCAGTGCAAAGCCTGTCTGACACCTGTGCTGTCCGTAGCTGTGCACTCCAACAAAAATCACGATGTAGTGGGGAAGTCCAGGCACGTGAGATTCCTTTCCTGCCCCAGCACCAGCAGTTCTGCCCAGTGCAGCCCCCTCCATTCCCCAGGACGTCTCCATTCCCTGTGACACACTGTAAACACGAGTCTCCACAGCCCCTTCCGCTGTCGGTCACCACCCCGGCAGCGTCACCCAGCTGGAGCGGATGGTGCCAAGTGGAGGTCCCACAATCCTACCTTGAAAGTCAACCGTGGGAGCTGAGCTCACACGCGATCCCCGCAGCCAAACTGCAGGTAGCCTAGGAAGTGATGCAGGGAGGAGGCATTGATCGGATTGGATGAGTCAGGACAAGTGGGCTGAAGGAGGACAGTTTGTTTAGTAAATAAAGCCATCACCATTCCTTTGGATGCCATCACTTCCCACTCGGCAAAATTTGAAATGGTATAAAAGTTGCTGGATCTCACAGAGCTTCATTCGCTCAGCTTTGCTCTCAGGCACACGTGGTCGGAGCCGAGAAGGGTAAGTCCATTTCTGCCAAAGGGAGCGATTCTTCTCGGGCTTTCGGGCTTGTAAGACACGAAAGCAGTGGTAAAGTAGACCTGGTGGGTGGTGGCTTGAAGGGCAAGAAGGTTGCTTGAATGAATTTAAATCTCCTGTGGATGTCAGAAGAAACAGGATCATCCCATGCTACTGAAAATCCTGTGTTTCGACAGTTTAGAGACAGGGATGGGAAAGCCATGGGATAAAAGACTTTAAATGATGGGTTGATTACCTTTAGCAATATGATAATCTCCTCCTAGCGAAAGGCTCTAAGTGTGGCTGGGCTCCATGGAGCACCAAGTACTCAGAAGAAAGGAAGTTCACTGGTTCTGGAGACCATCTGTCAATGTCGTCGGGCTGTACACGGGTCCTTCTGGCTGGGGGAAACTCTCGTGATGAAGGTTTCGGCTCTTGAGTAACAACCACCATGTTTCTTGCAGGGTCACTGCTCAAAGATGTGCTCCAGACAGTCCTCCCAGTCCAGTGGATGCCACAGCGGGGGCTGCTGCTGCTGTCACGGGGGCAGCTCCTCCAGCCACCAGTCTCAGGGCTCCTCCTGCTGCGGGAGCTCAGGCTCAGGCAGCTATGGTGGGGGCAGCGGGGGCAGCTCTGGCAAGATCATCATCAGCTCTGGTGGTGGAGGAGGTGGATCCTGCTGCGGTGGGGGCTCCTCAGGCTACAGCATGGGAGGAGGCTACAGCGGTGGCAGTGGGGGATCTGGCCAGAAGATCATTATTAGCTCTGGTGGTGGAGGAGGTGGCTCATCTGGATGCTGTGGTGGGGGATCCAGTGGTGGGTCTTCAGGAGGGAAGATCATAATTGGAGGTGGAAGCAGTGGAGGATCATCTGGATGCTGTGGTGGAGGATCCAGCTATGGCATGGGAGGAGGATCCAGTGGTGGGTCAAAGAGCATGATGGGGGGTGGAGGTAGTGGAGGATCATCTGGATGCTGCGGTGGAGGGTCCAGTTGGTGGGGGATCCAGTGGTGGGTCTTCAGGAGGGAAGATCATAATTGGAGGTGGAAGCAGTGGAGGATCATCTGGATGCTGTGGTGGAGGATCCAGCTATGGCATGGGAGGAGGATCCAGTGGTGGGTCAAAGAGCATGATGGGGGGTGGAGGTAGTGGAGGATCATCTGGATGCTGCGGTGGAGGGTCCAGTGGTGGGTCTTCAGGAACAAAGATCATCATTGGAGGTGGAGGTAGTGGGGGTTCCTCTGGATGCTGTGGTGGAGGATCCAGTGGTGGGTCTTCAGGATCAAAGAGCATGATGGGAGGTGGAGGTAGTGGGGGTGCCTCTGGATGCTGTGGTGGAGGATCCAGTGGTGGGTCTGCAGGAACAAAGATCATCATTGGAGGCGGAGGTAGTGGGGGTGCCTCTGGATGCTGTGGTGGAGGATCCAGCGGTGGGTCTTCAGGATCAAAGAGCATGATGGGGGGTGGAGGTAGCGGAGGATCATCCGGATGCTGCGGTGGGGGATCCGGTGGTGGATCTTCAGGAACAAAGATCATCATTGGAGGTGGAGGTAGTGGGGGTTCCTCTGGATGCTGCGGTGGAGGATCCGGCTATGGTATGGGAGGAGGATCCAGTGGTGGATCAAAGAGCATGATGGGAGGTGGAGGTAGTGGAGGATCATCTGGATGCTGCGGTGGGGGGTCCAGTGGTGGATCTTCAGGAACAAAGATCATCATTGGAGGTGGAAGCAGTGGAGGATCATCTGGATGCTGCGGTGGAGGATCCAGCTATGGCATGGGAGGAGGCTATGGTGGTGGGTCTTCAGGATCAAAGAGCATGATGGGGGGTGGAGGTAGTGGAGGATCATCTGGATGCTGTGGTGGGGGATCCAGTGGTGGGTCTTCAGGATCAAAGATCATCATTGGAGGTGGAAGCAGTGGAGGATCATCTGGATGCTGCGGTGGAGGATCCTCTGGCTATGGCATGGGAGGAGGATACGGCGGTGGCAGTGGGGGATCTGGCCAGAAGATCATTGTGAGCTCAGGTGGTGGAGGAGGTGGCTCATCTGGATGCTGTGGCGGGGGATCCAGCGGTGGGTCTTCAGGAGGGAAGATCATCATTGGAGGTGGAAGTGGCGGGGGATCTTCTGGATGCTGCAGTGGAGGATCCAGTGGTGGTGGTTCCTCAGGCCACGCAATCATCATCAGCTCTGGAGGGGGCAGTGGAGGCCAGTCCATGCAGCAGAAATGCCCCATTGTCATTCCCAGCATCGAGTCCCATCAGACCAAGCAGGCCTGTTACTGGCCCTCCAGCCAGCAGAAGTAACACCCACAAGTGGCCTCAGTTACCAAGAACAGCCCTGCCTCTTCCCTCTAAGTTTGCCAGTTACTTCCTAGCATGTCCTCTTCTCTTCCCTTCATGCTGCATCCCTGTGCTTTGAATTCCCAGATGCCTCTTCTCACCCATCAAAGTGAAAGGAAATAAAGATTACTCTATTCAGAAAGAACTGGTTTTCGAAGTTGCTTTTATAGAATCATAGAATCATAGAATCATTGAGGTTGGAAGAGCCCCTTGGGATCATCGAGTCCAACCATCTCCCCTACTCTCCAAAGTCCTCCCCTACACCATGTCCCTCAGCACTGCATCTAAACGGCCCTTAAACACAGCCAGGGATGGGGACTCCACCCCCTCCCTGGGCAGCCTGTTCCAATGCCCGACCACTCTTTGGGTGAAAAATTCCTTCCTAATGTTCAATCTAACCCTCCCCTGTTGGAGCTTGAAGCCGTTCCCTCTCGTTCTGTCACTAATTACCTGCGAGAAGAGACCAGCACCAACCTCTCTACAGTGTCCTTTCACGAAGTTGTAGAGAGTGATGAGGTCTCCCCTCAGCCTCCTCTTCCTCACACTAAACAGCCCCAACCCCCTCAGCTGCTCCTCAGACGATTTGTTTTCCAGCCCCCTCACCAGCTTCGTTGCCCTCCTCTGCACTTGCTCCAGCACCTCCAGATCTCTCTTGTATTGAGGTGCCCAAAACTGGACACAATACTCGAGGTGTGGCCTCACCAGTGCTGAGTACCCTGTTTGGTTTTTAAAAGTGAATAATACATCAAATACGTTCAGCTGTGATATCTTCTTCAGCCTGCGGTGCTGGAGCAGACGGTTATAAACAGGTCTTGCTTGTGAGAAACCTTGTTGCTTAAGCAGAGAATCATTGTCCCTCCTGCAAATAATGTCCACCAAGGCTGCAACTTCTACCTGGGAAATAGTTCCACCTTGATCTCCCCTTTCCAGAGAAATAAGCAGATTGTGAGCTCTGGCTTTCAACTGCAGGGTTTTCCAGTGTAGACAGCAGCATCTTTTGGAAATATAGTTGGGTTTTTACATACTCCATTTCTCTTATCACAAGAAAACCATTCATTATGATAGGAAACACTCTGTAGCATTTGTGCTGAAGTCAGCTGCAAGTCCTCTTTCTGACACATGTGATTACAGACTTGCACTCTGTAAATTTTAAGCTGAGGGGTTTTTTTGTCCATCTCACTCACACAACTGGTAGGCAGGAAACAAAATTAGGAATGAAGGATCATTGGTCATGCAAGCACTTGAGGGATCATGACTTGCCATCTTCTGCCTTTTGTGGAAAAATTGGAGAGCTCTTCTTACACCAGCAGCATCTTCACCACGTCCCACGCTCTCACTGTTAACATGGCTGGGCATGAAGGAAGCTGCTGGGGAAAAGGGTTGTAGGATCTGGACAAAGTTTTTCTCTCTCTCATAACAACACACACCCAGGCACCATCCACTGAAGGGTTTGCAGTGATGAGACTGAAAGATAACGGGACCTGCCAGCCCATCCCAAGGGTGACTGGACTCCAGGGCGGAAAAGGGCTCAGAAAGAGCATCAGAAAACAGACAGCAGGGCCCAAATTTGGAGCAACCTCAACTCTGGAGACTTTAGCATCCACCCTTACCTTTACCCAACAGAGGTATTAAAGCTGCTCTTTAGTCCAGGCTGGGGAGAACCTGTTTAGAAAGGCCTGCAGTGACAGGACGAGGGGCAATGGCTTCAAGCTGGAGGGGAACAGCTTTAGACTGGAGATGAGGAGAGGGTTCTTCACTGGGAGGGTGGTGGAGCACTGGGACAGGTTGCCCAGGGAGGTGGTTGAGGCCCCTTCCCTGGAGATATTCAAGGGGAGGCTCGATGGGGCAACCTGGTCTAGTTGGGGGTGTCCCTGCTGACTGTGGGGGGGTCGGACTAGATGGCCTTTGGAGGTCCCTTCCTGCCTGGACAACTCTATGATTCTATGATTCTATAATCCAGGGAGTTGTGGCAATAGGAACCACTTCAGCATCTGTGGTTCCAGCCACGTTCTTCCTCCACATGTGGCAAGTGCCAAAGGGGCACAAAGTGACAAGTGCCACACATGTGTTTGTGCTACAGGGTCAGTGTTTCCACTGCAGGGTCCATCCCTGGGGTGTCCACACACCAGCGTCTGCAGAAGCACCTCTGCCAAAGGCCTCCACTGCCTTCCCTCGTGCCCTGGGTCCTGATGAGCTGCAAATCCTGGGTGTCCCTTTATGCAAGTCCCTACAGGTTCAACACTCAGAAGGGATCAAGGTGTTGCGATGCTCGGTAGCATCGACAACGCCCACACTTCACAGGTGAGAACCAGAATGGCAGTGAGACCTTAGCTTTTCCTTCGGTGATGAGAGTGGAGCCGAGGCCACTGGAGGGAGTCCAAAACCCCCTGCACCCACGTTCCTGGTGCTGATGCTCCTGTCCCCACGTTCCTGGTGCTGATGCTCCTGTCCCCATACCAATGGAGTTGCGTGCTTGCTCAAAATCATGATCATCGTGACAGGGCTGGGCTGCCTGCTGCTGCTGTCATGCATCCTCTCGGCTTAAAACCCCCCAATTATGCTTTCCTCTACTCAATCTCCCGTAAGGGTGGATGCTGTTGTCAGCCTCTAAGCACGCGTGACGCAGTCACAGGATGAAGCTGCTGCAAAACACAACAGCCAGCGCTGCGATAACTGTGCTGACAAACTGTCATTCTCCAGCAAGCAAAATACCCAGATGCCTCCCCAGCCTCAGGTCTGGGTGGGCTGGCCTGAGAAGCAGGACCCTCAGAAAACAGGACAGAGGAAATATTTAATGTCCTAGAGTTCAAGGGTAGGGTCTTCATGGCCTTCAAATGCAGCTTTGCAAACAAAAAGGCTACAAGACTTTCCCCACCGCAACCTGGTGACCAGGACCCCTGGGAAGCTGGACCTAAGCACAGACCTCTCTGCTCAGTCCAGCAGCAGCGTCTACCTTGGGGTCCCAAAAGGGTGAAGGGAAATGTCCCTTGTGTCTTTGCCATCCTTGCAGGGCCCACTGGAATGGATCTGGGCTGAGGTCCTCCAGAACGGTGCACTGCCCCATCAGAGGTGATACATCTGGCCTGTTGAGCACATGGTTGCCTTTCCCAGTGGGCTGGATGTACTCCTGCCCCTCCATCCATCTCTCCATCTCGCCAGTCCTTGAGAAAACCCTTTTTCCCCAAAAAACCCTCTGAGACTTGGTTTACCCTTGTCTCACACATCCATCTCTCCATCTCGCCAGTCCTTGAGAAAACCCTTTTTCCCCCAAAAAAACCTCTGAGACTTGGTTTACCCTTGTCCTTCCATCACTCTCTAGACCCAACCCACCCCCTTAGCATCTGCTCTGTCTCCTCTCTCTTTTGAGTACCCAAGAAGCTGCATCCTTGCATAAGTGGGTTGGGGACCACCTAAAATAGACCCCCAGAAGCCACTTGCCCGCAACATTTCGGAGCAAGGCTCCCGGAAAAGAATCATTAGGCAGAATTAGCGACTGCGATGCAGAACATAATTGATACATCTTCATATCACCTATCGCCTGCTGCAAGTGAGTCAAAGAAGGAGGCAGCTAAACCCAGGTGCAGTAAATCTATCAGCATTCCTTCGGGTGTCTCACTTCCCTTCGGAGCACATCTCGTACAATATAAAAGCTCACCTGTCCCAAGGCTCCTCATTCACCTGCCACCAAGCCTTGCAAGCATATCCAGTTGCAACAAAGGTAAGCCCGTTAACAGATAAATTGCTGTGATCTGCAGACCAGTCCCTGGGTGCAGGTTTTTCCTGCTGTCTAACGAGGTTGAGGGAGTTTATGAAGCTGTTGTTCCTGTGGGACTGTAGAAAATGGGGCAGAGGGGTTATTTACTTAGTACCGATCCAATTTTGGTTTGTTGTGAACGTGCAGCATCATCTCCAAGTGGATCCTTTCTAACAGGACCATTTCTTGCAGGGTCACTGCTCAAAGATGTGCTCCAGACAGTCCTCCAGAGGTTGCCATGAAACTTCCTCCCAGTCCAGTGGATGCCACAGCGGGAGCAGCTGCTGTCATGGGGGCAGCTCCTCCAGCTACCAGGCTCAGGGCTCCTCTTGCTGTGGGGGCTCAGGCTCAGGCAGCTATGGTGGGATGCTCAAAGATGTGCTCCAGACAGTCCTCCAGAGGTTGCCATGAAACTTCCTCCCAGTCCAGTGGATGCCACAGCGGGAGCAGCTGCTGTCATGGGGGCAGCTCCTCCAGCTACCAGGCTCAGGGCTCCTCTTGCTGTGGGGGCTCAGGCTCAGGCAGCTATGGTGGGAGCAGCTCTGGCAAGATCATCATCAGCTCTGGTGGTGGAGGAGGTGGATCCTGCTGCAGTGGGGGATCCTCTGGCTATGGCATGGGAGGAGGATACGGCGGTGGCAGTGGGGGATCTGGCCAGAAGATCATTGTGAGCTCAGGTGGTGGAGGAGGTGGCTCATCTGGATGCTGTGGCGGGGGATCCAGCGGTGGGTCTTCAGGAGGGAAGATCATCATTGGAGGTGGAAGCAGTGGAGGATCATCTGGATGCTGCAGTGGGGGCTCCTCTGGCTACGGCATGGGAGGAGGCTACAGCGGTGGCAGTGGGGGATCTGGCCAGAAGACCATTATTAGCTCAGGTGGTGGAGGTGGTTCATATGGATGCTGCAGTGGGGGGTCCAGCAGTGGGTCTCCACAAGGGGTAATCATCATTAGAACTGGAGGTAGTGAGAGTTCCTCTGGATGTTGTAGTGGAGGATCCAGCTATGGCATGGGAGGAGGCTATGGTGGTGGGTATTCCGGATCAAAGAGCATCATCGGAGGTGGCAGTAGTGGAGGATCATCTGGATGCTGCAGTGGGGGATCCAGCAGTGGATCTTCAGGAGGCAAGATCATAATTGGAGGTGGAAGCAGTGGAGGGTCATCTGGATGTTGCAGTGGAGGATCCAGCTATGGTATGGGAGGAGGCTACGGTGGTGGGTCTTCAGGATCAAAGATCATCATTGGAGGTGGAAGCAGTGGAGGGTCATCTGGATGTTGCGGTGGAGGATCCAGCTATGGCATGGGAGGAGGCTACGGTGGTGGGTCTTCAGGATCAAAGAGCATGATGGGGGGTGGAGGTAGCGGAGGATCATATGGATGCTGCAGTGGAGGATCCTCTGGCTATGGCATGGGAGGAGGATACGGCGGTGGCAGTGGGGGATCTGGCCAGAAGATCATTGTGAGCTCAGGCGGTGGAGGAGGTGGCTCATCTGGATGCTGTGGCGGGGGATCCAGCGGTGGGTCTTCAGGAGGGAAGATCATCATTGGAGGTGGAAGTGGCGGGGGATCTTCCGGATGCTGCAGTGGAGGATCCAGTTGTGGCAGTGGTGATTCCACAATCATCATCAGCTCTGGAGGGGGCAGTGGAGGCCAGTCCATGCAGCAGAAATGCCCCATTGTCATTCCCAGCATCGAGTCCCATCAGACCAAGCAAGGCTGTTACTGGCCCTCTGGCCAGCAGAAGTAACAGCTACCAGAGACCTCGGCTCTCATCAAGAACAGCCCTGCCTCTGCTGTGTCACCTTTATCCTTCCAGACCTTCCCTTGATGCTGCTTTCCTGCGCTGAGAACTCCAGGATGACCAACCTTGTCCCCGGCTGCTGGTGTTGGGATGCCTTTAATAAGGCTCTGCTGCTTTTCCAAAAAGCACTTTTTATATCTAATAAATGTGATAGTATCTCAAAGCTGGTTTTTGGGGGAATTCATTTTTTCTTGTATTCTTACCCAGGATCTAAAGGTCTTGGAAATCTATCTGATGAGACATTTCATACCTCCTTTCTGTAGAGAAGGCGGTGTGTTCAATGGTGCATTGCTGAAGATGCAGCTCTAACACCATCCAGTTTATGGATGGAGAGTTTGCACCTTCATTTTCCTCCTGGGCTCCATGACGGAGTGAGAGCACAGCCTATAACGTCAAGCACCCACAGCACCCACCCTGTGCCCAGTGCAGCCATTCCAGTCATGTCTTCTGAGGTACAAGCACCCAATGACCATGGCTGTGGATCTGGCCAGCTTCTGGGAGACACAGCCAAGCCCATCAGGCCCAGTCCTGAAGAGCAGGGATTGGGGCTGACCATCAATAGCAGTTATTGCCTCCCATGGTGGCCAATAACACCATGCTAATGTCCACGTCCCTGCCATCCTCACCCTTCACTCCCAGCTTGGGAAACCTCAGAACTTCTCTACCCAGAGGGTCAGCCTCATACGCTGAGGCAGCCAAATCAGCCCTGGGCCAGGCAGAAGGAAATAAAACCAGCAGCCAGTCCCTCAGCCAGCTCAACACACTCCAAAAATTGCCTCCAGGCCTTAATCCCTCCTTGCCCAACTTTCTGACACTCACTTTGAAATGCCGAGGGCAACACCACCACCCCTGTGCACTGCTTTCTGCCCGGTAGATGTGGCCTTTTGCCAAAACTGGGACTCATCATCCCCACGGCAGAATTGCTCAGAGCTGAACAGACCTGGTCCAGCCTGCAAGAGCTGCACTGTGGGGCCACGCTGGAGCACCATAGGCTGCAGCATGGACATCATGTTGGGCAGCTCTACCATCATGTCCACAGGACATACCCTCTGGACCGGTCTCCCTGGAGTCCCTGGCACTTGGTACAAGTACAAACTGGGTGGAGAATGGCGTGAGGGCAGCCCTGAGGAGAAGGGCTTGGGGGTGGTGGTGGATGAGAAACTCAACATGAGCCGAAAATGTGCAATAACAGCCCAGCAGCCCCCTGGGCTGCATCTCCAGCAGCAAGACCAGCAGGGAGAGAGGGGGGGATTCTGCCCCTCTGCTCCACTCTGGGGATACACTTCCCCCACCCCCAGTGCTACCTCCAGCTCCGGGCCCTCAGCGCAGGAGAGACATGGACCTGTTGGATCAGGGCCAGAGGAGGCCCCAGAGATGCTGGGAGGGCTGGAGCCCCTCTGCTGTGAGACCGGGTTGAGACAGTTGGGGGGGTTCAGCCTGGAGAAGAGAAGGCTCTGGGGAGACCAGAGGCAGGTTTCTAGTCTCTGAAGGGAGCTTACAAGGAAGCTGGGGAGGGACTTTTTGCAACGGCATGTAGTGATAGGATGAGGGGGAATGGCTTCAAACCAGAAGAGGGGAGATTGAGATGAGATGTGGGGAGGAACTTCTTTGGTGTGAGGGTGGTGAGAGCCTGGCCCAGGTTGCCCAGAGAGGCTGTGGTTGCCCCATCCCTGGAGGGATTCAAGGCCTGGTTGGATGGGGCTTGGAGCAACCTGGGCTGGTGGGAGGTGGCCCTGCCCATTAGCAGAGGGGTGGAACCAGATGAATTTTAATGTCCCTTCCAACCCAAACCATTCTATGATTCACACCTCTACAATTCTCTCCAGGGCCCCTAAACTTTCTCAGAGCATCTCTATTACCCTTACAAAATACCCAAAGCTGGGTGCTTCACTTTTGACGAGGTTCTGGTTCAGATGCAAATGTCTTCCTCAGAAAATCTTCCACCGGAGCTACCAGCCTGATGCTGGAGGGATCAAGGTGCTATGTGGCCACAAGATGCTTTCTGAGCTTTTTCCTTCCCCTCTCCCAAGCACCCGCTGCTCATACCCACCCTGACAGTGATGCTCCAGGCCACGAGCATCACCACATCGCTGAAGAGCAGCCTCCCTGCCCCTTCCCTGAGCAGGACCCAGTCCCCACCACCCTCTGACCCAAAATCGCTAATCCTCCTGCTCAGCATTTCCCTACACCTACTCTCCCACCCACCTCTCCCAGTCTCCCTCACCTCACCGGGGGCCAAAGCGGTTCTCCGTAGCTCAGGGCAGCAGCACAGGAATAGGATCATTAAGCAGAAGTAGCAATTACTGCTGCATGCCATGCAACAAGCGGCACGAAGGAAAGATATCGATCAGATGTCATAAGTCAAAGCAAACACTGAAATCAGAGTTTGGTAAATAAATCCTTGCCATTCCTTAGGGTGTCTCACTTCCCATATGCTAAGCACCATATAAAAGTTCCTGTCCATTAAAGCTCCTCGTTCAGTTGACATTTATCTTCTAAATGTGTTTCCAATGGATGAGGAGGGTAAGTCTGCTCTTTTCTGAGACTTTATTATTTCGTATTCGTGGGTGATAGCTTCATTTGAGATCTTGACACGTGCTTGCAGCAGGTACCCATGCCTCCTGAGCATAGTGGGACCAGCACGTGATGACAGCACAGTCTTTGCAGTTTTAAATGTGTTTGCAACACGTGGAACACATTTTTTGATATTATTTAAGAACGAGCCTATGCTGTACTTCATTCTGGTTCCACACCTCCATGGCTGTGCCCATTACCTTGTGTAAAAGACCTTGGGGATGCCACGCAACGATGGCAATAACACAGCCGGCAACATCATCCTGCATGGAAATTTTTATCCACTGTTCTTGCAACAGTTGAAAAACAGTAGCAAGGATAATCCTTGCTATTTTTAATCTCTTCCGGTCATGAAGACGAGTGGGGAAATCGATGGCAGTGAACAGATGTTGAAAGAACGTATTTCAGAGTTTTGTTCTCTGGAAATACACCCTGGAGATAAGAAAGAGAATAGCTATCTCAGAAAGAGTCAAAATAAAGCAAAATAAAGCAAAATTATGCAGGTTTGGGGTTTGTTTTTTTTCTCCTCTTTCAGATCTATCACTGTCTCCGAGGGAGATGTCGCCGCCGGAACAGGGGCTATAGCGGTGAGATCTCCTCACACCACAGAGGCCTCCAGGGACATGGATCCTTCTTCTGTGGTGGGGAAGGCTCGGTCACCTACAGCCGGAGACCTTCATTCTGCCTACCTATGCCAACATCGTCCACCTACAGCATTGGAGGGGGGTACAGATGTGGTGGTGAGGGATCTGTTGCAATAACCTGTGGGGATGGTGGGGAGACATCTGGCTGGAGCATTGCAGGGGGGACAGTCCCCAACTATGGCACTGGGGGTGGAATAAGGTACGGCACTGAGGGCTCAGGCCGGAACATCATTGATAGCTCTGGGGGTGGTGGGAGATTGGGCATCGTCGAGGGAGGAGGTTCTGGATATGGATATGATGTGTCACCCAGAGAAAACGCCTTAACGACGTATGGGGGCAGTGGTGGTTCAGGCTACTACAGCGGAGGATCGAGCTATGGCATTGAGGGATGCTCAGGCCCAGAGCTCAGCTCCGGAGGTGGTGGGTCCTCCCAGGCCATGCAGCAGAAATGCCCCGTGGTGGTCCCCAACATCAAGGCCCACCAGAGCAAGAAGACCAGCCAGTGGCCCCTCAGCCAGAAGAAGTGACTGGCCCAGCAGCCGGCCCTGCTCGAGCAAAAGTGCCCTGGATGTGTCACTGTGGTTGGGGACCTTCACGTTCCTCATCTTGGGTTGTGCTAGTAGTGCTGCTGTGAGCACCGCTGGGAAAGAGGATTTGTGCTTTGGTGACGAGAAAAGATTCTTTTCTCCATCTCCTTTTACTTGTGGGTTGGAAAATAAAACTTCATAGTCTATGGGAAATTCCAGTATCTGAATGATTTATTTAATTACTAGTTCCTTCACTCAAAACACAGATACTCAAGGAGTCTACTTCATAACACAGGATTTATCTTCCAACATGTTTGCTATGTATTTTACAACTGTACTCCAATGTAATACTTATTTTAGGAGAATTAAAATACATCATTTTTAACAGCAAGAGAAGGTTCTTAATTTTGCTCTTGCTGAAGTCAGAGCTTCTCCCATGCTGTTCCCATCAAACTGACCTGCTGAGACCCTCTGCATGAAGGGTTAAGGAGATAGGCAAAGCTCCCAGGTGATTTCCAACTGATTATTATTTACAGCATGACCTTGGGAGTGCACGGTTATTGGAAACAATTACACGCCAGGCTCCTGCCCCAGAGAGATTGCAGGGGATGTCGTAAGCTGGAGCACGTAACCCTTCTGCTTGCACCAGTGGCATGAGGCAACTCCAACACACTCATTTGCTTCTTCGCAGTAACCTGTTTCATGACATTTTTTGATAGGATCAGGCCCTAAATGAGGCACGGGAAGAGGATGGTTCCTCTGTGCTGATGTGACAGTACGGGGGAGGCTTGAATATCCTGTGCCAGGTTTTTAGTGGAATTTGTCAAATATTTAGCATTTTGGGACTATTCTCTGGGGTTTTTTGACTCCTCCAAATATTGATAATAAAGGAAAAAAAACACCCATAGATCTATGCTCATTTAAAAGGGAGACAAAAGAGCATAAAATTACATTGTAAAATATTTCTTGCCATTGCTGCTTTCACCCACCTATGAGGATTTTGACTCTTTCAGCTCAATAAAAACTCAGAAAATTTTGCCCTGATGTTTGTAAAACGCTACAGCTTACAAGAAAAAAAAAAATCCTCTGAGCTCTAGCCCTGTGTTTGGTGCCACAATGGGCATTTTCACACTGTAAAATGTTGTAAAACTGAAGGGCTGCAGTGCAGGGAACGTTACACCAGGTTTTGTCACCAGCTGTA